CTAAATTAAACTTGATTATTGTTTTTAATCAACTGGCTGACAGACAACAAGTTTGTTGTTAATTCTGGCACACAGAGCACGTTCTTAACAGGTACATCATATTCACAGTCATCAGTCTTTGTAATAATATCTCCTATGCAAGAAACTTTCAACTTATTGTTATTTGCAACAATTCCTTTTCTTTTACACTTTGTTGATTCATAACCCAACTTTCCATTGCTGTTAAATGAGTACTGGCTCCTGAGCCGATATACCACTCAGTTTTATTAAAAATACCACTAAGGAAAACAGCACTGAATGCATTTGTTTGTTTTCTTGCATTTTAGTTATAACTAGACTGATTGTTATCGTTATTCGTGCATTGGTTCTTGTAATGTCCAACACTGTATGTCACTTATAGCATTTGACATTTGTTTTCTTCGATGCGCCATCTTGATTTCCGGTCACAGACTGCATAGACTTTTTGTTTTTATGTTGCCCCCTCTGTGAGTATGAACTTGCAAAAGCACCGCCAACTTGGTGATTTCCGGCGTCGGTTTCTATGTGTAATAGTTTTACCTTTATGGCATCTGATGTAATGGCAATGCCCGAATGTTCAATCGCCATAATCATAGGCGCATATTTTTCAGTCAATCCAGCTAGTAGTAAACATCCAATCTAACAGTCATTAATATCGAAACCAGTACCGCTTAGTTTCTGTCCGGTTTCAATAATATCTGTTACGTACGACGTCATCGAGCTGCTACTCTCTTAAACGAATCGATATTAAATGGCGCAATAAAGTGATTCGTCCTGAAAAGCCGGAATCATCGAATAAATCTTTGAGTTTCAATTCGAGGACGATCTTTCTTACTAGACTTGTGGCTTAGTCTTATATCATTTAAAAAGGACGCACGCGTAGTATTCGGCAATTTGTCTGAGAGATTTTGTTCATAGATGCACTCCATGACATCCGATTCAGTGAGAGCTACAGGGACACCAATGAATACGTCGTCGGCGTTTAGAAGGTTCTTCTACATTGAGGCCTGAGGAAACTAGATTTTCTGATGTTTTCAGCTTTTCTATATCGCCTTTGCTTTCCGCACTGATAATAATTTCTCCGTTTCTAATTTTCTTCAACCCGCGGTTTCGAAATTTCAGCTCTTCAGGGGAGATAATTTTCTGAAGTAGGCTCTTGGTTTCGTCACTGGTCTGCGTCTTATCATTCAGGTAGATAGCAAGAGAGCTGAGATTGGTTGGCCGTATGAATTTGTCCTCTACTTTTTTTACCATGTTGGCATAGGAAGTGCAGTCTGACTTACGTTCAGCTTCTACAAGTTTTTTTTAAAATTCTTGCAGGGAATATGAAATTTCCTGTTGCCCTTGTAATTGCTGGATAGTAACACGAGTTTGGTTTATTTTCTACTTCAGAAACTGGTAAAGTACCGCAATCTGCGATGTCCCATGAGAGATCATAGATTTGTGACACGGAGTTTCTGGTCTTTGTTCATTTTTCCTTCTGGGACAATACCACAAACTTCCGGTATAATTGCGTCAATAGAAGTCAGCCATTTCTGGATCTCCAGCGTAGATATGAATTTTTAAATAAATAAATCCGTCCTTAATTTGTACCATTTCCTTCAGCAATCGAGTAACATCCACATGATCAAAAGATACAGGAGGTACCCTGTGTAAATCTTTCGCCACAAATATGGGAAATAATTCAGGATTATAGCCTTTAATGACAGTTATGATGTCCTCTAGATCCCGAGACATCTTTTTCTTTCCTTCCTTTCTTCTCACTGGCATCTTCTTTCCACTTGAAATCGAGTCAAAGAGTAGGGTCTTAGCAGCTACTATTTCCTCCCCCGTAAAAGAAGAAGTACATAGCTGGTGCACACTCTCCTCATCCATAACATCCAATACATTTCGTAAAAAAGCCAATAGTTCGTTAATAACCACATTACAATTATTACACTTTACCGTACTTCGCGACATAATTGCAGTGAGTCACCGATCATAGCGGCACTGTCGACGCGTACGCACTCAATCGCCGGCGCGACGAAAACGGCAAAGCTCCTTCAAGTGTCTCATCAGGCGCAAAGATGTAAAATTATTATCAAAAAAGACTTAGACTGAAAGATACCATATATCCGGTACTTGCACACATTGCCCAGTTCCTGAAACCAAACCTAATTGGCTTGCCATGGATGAACTGTTTCGTATAGTGATTTCCGCAATACGGGATCATACTTGGATCTACGCTATAGTGCTCATCCATTCCGTAGTTTTTGAAATCACCTAGGCTTTCAATTAGGACGCAATTTATGCAATCTATCTACAGTTTCCCTGAGTTCGCTGTTGTCGTTGACCGAGGGAAACTTTGAACCAAACCGATTGCATCTAATACTATCTTGTAGAATTGTAGGCACGTCATTATCTTTGCAAAAATACAATCGTGTCTTTAGCAATTTGACGTAACCCGACAATAGCATTTCTCCTAAAACAACGTAGATCTCGTCTTCCGTTGCCATCAGAGGTTTATTTATTTATTTTTTTTGCAAAGCGGGCAGTACCCTTAGTATGAGTTTTGACAGCAAACGTTACGTTCTAACGAAACGTTAATTTTCATTCATAAATTAGCAGCGTCCCCTATCGGAAACGTAGAGGAACTAAATTTGGTAGTACGAGTTGCTTTAACGTAAAAAGTATCCGTAAACGGTGAGCGCTAACGAGAAATTTTGACAGTTCTCGACAAATTGGCAGTACGAGTTACAATATTGACAAGTCTGCGAGAGAAAAGCGTCTCGATCTCGTCCAACGTAAACGTTAGTTTAGAACTCACTAAATATTAATCGGTGAGATAGACAAAAAACCTCGCGACTTGGGTGCCAAAATATTTACTTGTGACATTTATTTAAATAATTTAATGGCTGTGAGAAGATATTTTGCTTGGAGGATGACGGCAGAAGCCGCTGAAATGGATCGTTGTGAAGAAGAGCGTAAAAACCTTCTTTTATTTGTTTGGCGAAAGTTATTGAGCGCAAGCTTAATATCGGATACTCATTTCGTCCAAAGATATCGGCTGACAAAAGAAGCCTACAAGTTTCTATGTGAGACATTTAGAGATCTTACTAATTTAAGAAGCTCTCAGACAGTCTCACTAGAAACTAAGGTCAGTGAATTATTATCATCTACATTAATAAATACACAAGTAGGTTATATAAATAAGTACAATTTCTGATTTCTTTTAGGTACTCTGCGCATTATTATTTTATGCCAATGGCGACTACCAAAGGGTGGTTGGCATAGCCAATTGTTACTCCCAAGAAGCCATCAGCCGCTTTGTCCACCAAGTGACTGAAGCACTAAACCACCCAGAGGTTTTAAAAAAGTTCATTAAGTTCCCTACGACACGGGAAGCTAGAGAACAAGTGAAACGAAGGTATATTACTGTTGAACCTAAAATCATATTCATGCACTTGCTAGTAGATGACTTGTTAATTATAATTGTTTGTCTTTTTAGTTTCTATAATATGTACGGGTTTCCTGGAGTGTTGGGATGTGTAGATGGCTCACATTTTAGGATTGTGAAGCCCAAAAAGGATATAGAACATTTATTTTACTGCCGCAAGCACTATCATTCGATAAATGTTCAAATGGTAATAATAATATAATTTTATAAACATAGTGTTAATAATGCACTAATACAATCTAAACAATCAAAAGCTTCATAGTTTTATATTTATTTATTTCATATCTTAAGTAATGTTACGTCATTGTTTCTAGGTGTGTGATCACAGGGGGCTAAACATTAACCCTAAGTATGGTGGTGCTAGCCATGATGCCTTTGTGTGGGAAAACAGCCTTGTAAACCAACACATGCAGACATTGCACCAGAGTGGAGAGTCTGTCTGGCTTCTAGGTAAATGCAACAACTATACAATACTATATAAAGAAAATATGTAAGTAATTTAAGGTATGTATTTTTAATAAAAACTTATTTTGAATTTGCAGGGGACTCTGGATACCCACAAAGGCCATGGCTGATGACACCATACTCTCAACCAGGCCCGGGCACTTCTGCAGAGACATACAATATGGTACACAGCAGGGCCCGGGTCATCATTGAAAATACTTTTGGGCGCCTGAAAAACAGGTGGAGGTGTGTGTGCAAAGACAGGGTTTTGCATTACAAACCTGAAAAGTGTGCACACATTATTATTGCTTGTTGTGTGCTGCACAACATTTGTGTAAATTTTAATGTACCGGACTATGAAACCGAACCAGAAACAACAGGTAGGTAATCTACAAACAACATATAATAACATTACACCACACAATTTATTAGTACTAAATTTATATTTCTCAAACACCCTTTTAAGTTTACTTTTAAGTAAGGTTTCTATGTCATCTCAAGTTCCCATAAGCTAATGTTAACCTACGTTAGGGACTAGCGGTCCACCTCAACACAAGTGAAACAATATGTGCTTCTTTCATAGTTTGTGTTTTGTTTTCACAGGTCACGAAGATTTCATCAGAGAGGAGTCTGCTCCGCATGAAGACAGTTCCCTTTTAACTTTGGGCCGATTACTACGTGATCGCGTGGCCAGTAGAATGAGTTTGATTAATTAAATACACTTTTTATTTATTATTTATATAACAATTTAATTATGAAAACGTGTTTCATTATTGTACAAGTATTTATTTATTGCTTAGGGTGACTATACGAATAGTATTTAATGCGTACGTATTAAAAATTTCAAAATCATACAGCTTTTGATGCGGTTTTCAAAACTATTTGTTACACTTAGAAGGTTTTAGTATATTTATTTACAGGCTAACATTTTTTAAACATAGTTTTAATCATTACTCAGTGCACGTACGTTAGGGAGGGTGTCTTATGCCCTTCAATAGGACGATCACAACTAAAATAAACATACGCTTACATCCTAGCTAATTATGATGCCAGCTATTAACAGATCCCGGTATTACATAATGTAATGTTCAATAAAAATACTCTACTGCATTAAAATTATTTTTTTTTTTTTATCTAGTAGCTCTAGATATTTAGCGAACAAAGTTTGCCACTGAGCTTGCATTTGTAATTCAGCTTCACGCTGCCGCAGACTCTCAGTGACAAACTTTGTCGCCAAATCTCTCCAGAGATTATCCGAATGGATGAAATTTTGGGCAGCATCTGCATGTGCCGAGTGTGGGCGAACTCGAGGGCGCCGGCGGCGATCCGGTGTAGCGCGGTGCCCGGGTATAATACGCCGGGCTCTTGGCCGTGCCGGAGATCCCGTCTGTTGGACGTGGCTGGTGGTGGGCGACGCAGTCGTCACCTCCACTATTTCCGTGGGAAATGGGGTAGACTGGCCGCTTCCACCTGGCCTCATTAATTCATCCAGCACTGAAAACATATAGGTACATATAATGTGGTTATAGAGTACCTCATAATACTTTCATTGCATCATAGACTCAATATAAAAAGTTCCCATACTTATATAAACTTCTTCTAAAACGAGAGAAGGAAAAGTTTTAAAAATAAAAATGGATTCATATGTCACATTAGTGTTAGATTATTTTGTAACAAAAGCCCTATGTAAAAAATCCTCTGTCAAAATTTTGTTCATATAGTATAACATCATCAAAATCCATAATTCTATGATTAAAATATCACTATTACTAGTGTCTGCTGTTAGGTAACAACCATGGTTAAAATACCTCCTTATGGTTGTGATCATAAGTAAAAATAGTATATTCACTAAACAAATATTACTTACTGTCTACCTGGATAGTTGAGCGGGTCGGTGTGGGTGACCGTGGCCGCAGAAAGGGTGGTGGCACCTCTAACTCTAATGGTTCAGAGGCAAGTGCTGAATCATTCTGAAAATAAAGCTAATATCTTATTATATAGCCTTTCAACATCTTTTACACAGGTAGGTTCAGGTTAGTGCATCTGATAACAAAACCACGGATTAAAAAACAAGAGTTAGTTAACGGTTACAAAGATATTGTAACCATTAAACAGTAAATTCTTCCAAGGTACTACACACCTTGGTGTTACACATCTGTCTACACCTTCACTGAATAAAGTGTGACATTATTGTATTTCTGTACATACAATTTACATATAAGATTTTTATGAGTTATACAAAAATTACCAAAGCAATATTACCTGAGGAACGGGAGCTGTCTCATTTACAGCTACCATGCCTGTAGCAGCCTCTGAACCTATTAGGTTGAGTACCCGCTGCTCCAACTCACTTAATATGAGTTAACAGGCAGGGCCACCACCTGTGCCGCTTACACAGCGATTGATTTTTGCGGCCTTTTTTTTGGTGTTAGTTTTTAAGTCGCTCCACACCTATGCACATGCAAAGCAAACAAACAAGCTTATCACCACATAGTATAAAACAAAGTAGGTATTTCTGTCTATACCTATCTATGCTTAGATCTTTAAAACACGCAATGGATTTTGATGCAATTGTTTTAATAGATAAAGTGACTCAAGAGGAAGGTTTACATGCATTAATAACAGTGCGAAGCTGGGGCGGGTGGCTAGCTAGCTAATAAAATACAGTGAAAGTGTTAAGCAATTTATTCCTGTCCTATTAATATTTAAAACCACATTGCCTAGATGGTGACAGATTAATAAAGCTGCTTGCTGGCTTTGAGAAGAGCGCGCATAATTATAATTATTGTTTTACCTTTTTCCACTTATCCATCGGCTTTGACTGGCCCGTTGTGTCTAAATTTAGGGCCATCGTTAGTTCTTCCCACTTTGTAATGGCACTAAGCCTGCCGTAAGGTCCACCAGCAGGCTTATTGAGGTCTCCATTTCTAAAATATATACAAAATACACGAAAATTTAGAACTATTGATGTTAAATGATCATACTATGGTTATTTTATTTTATTTTATTTTATTATATTTGGGAAAAAAAACAATATTACATTATATATAATATCCATCAGTAAAGTACATAAAACCAAATTAATGTAATATCCACAACATTTTCCACAGATTACCTTTTGACACATAAGCTGTGATGAGGTCACATAACAATATTTATTATCCATATTTGAAGAAACATGCAAAACAACATGCAAAACAAAGCTATATTAAGATACAAGATCCAAACTCCTCAGCACATCAATGACTTTACCTCTAAAATTGTTTCTATTTAACATAAATAAATCAATATCCATAAAGATTTCATTATAGATCTTCGCAAGACGCCAGAGGGGAGCACGCTTACCAGCGTTTGTCCGGTGTGATGCCTGATCAAACAACCGGTAATCGCGCACCCCGCGACGGTGGATTGATCTAGGAACCACAAGTTTAATGTTATTATTAAGGTCCATACAATTAAGCTTGTTATGGTAAAGGTCGTGAAGTGTCATTATTTGCAGAAGCATTCGTCTCTTCTCCAGTGACAGCAAATTATACCGGGCTAAAAGGTCTTTGTAGTTTAAGCGTGGAAGTTGGCATCTAAATTGCATAGTCCGTAGAAATTTTCTTTGTACTTTTTCAATGGCTATTTTATATTTACTATATAATGGATCCCATATCAGGCAAGCATATTCAAGCTGAGAACGAATAAGTGAACGATATAGATGTAAAAATGTGGAGGGGCGCCTGAAGTCTGTAGCTGTTCTAAAAACATAACCATACATTTTAAATGCTTTATTTATGATATATTCTATATGTAGGTCCAGATGCAACTTACAGTCAAACAGTATTCCTAGGTCTCTAAGGTTCGTCACTCTGTTTAGTATGGTGCCACAAAGGGTGTACCCGTATTTGATTACTGTCTTGTTTTTAGTGAAGCTAATTGTTTGGCATTTGGGGATACTTAAGTTTAACTTATTAATTGCACAGTATTCAGAAAGTCGGTCAAGATCGCTTTGAAGTTCTGAGCAGTCATTAACATTTTTTATGACTTTATATAATTTCAGATCGTCAGCATATAAAAGAAAATTTGTGTGTTTGAAGCAATCATTCATGTCATTTATAAACACAATGAAAAGAAGCGGCCCCAATATTGATCCCTGGGGAATTCCAGACGACATACCAGCTCTTCCCGATTTGTATCCATTAATTACGACTATCAGGCTGCGGTTCGATATGTATGAGCAAAACCACCTCAAAAGATTTCCCCTAATTCCATTAAACGCTATTTTATTGAGAAGAATTTCGTGGTCCACTTTATCAAACGCCTTCTGAAAATCTGTGTATACGGAATCCACCTGAACTCCCTTGTCGATATTATGGAAAAGAAAGTTAGTATAAGTTGCTAAGTTTGTCATAGTGGATTTTTGTTTAACAAAACCGTGTTGCTCAGGAATGATATAATTATGGAAGAATGGGTATATGGCATTATGAACAAGTTTCTCGAAGAGTTTTGATGTTGCACTGATAATAGAGATTGGGCGATAATTTGTGACGTCATGTTTAGAACCACTTTTATGGATTGGGACAATGTATGCACACTTCCAAATGTCTGGAAAGAAACCCTCAGAGATGCACTTGTTAAACACGATGTTCAATGGATCACATATTGATTCAGCTGTATTCTTAAGAAACACTGCTGGCAATCCATCTGGTCCTGGGCCTTTGGAAGCATCCAGTTTCTTTAATTCGCTTTTAATAGCAGTTACACCGAGATATATATGGGGCAACAAATCACATCGGTAGCTATAATTGTCTGGTGGTGCCCAATGGGGAGTTAAGGTAGACGGCTGGTAAACAGATTGGAAAAATGATGAAAACAGATTACAAATAGTTTCCGGATCTTGCGAAGTTTGGTTTTTGTAAGTCATACTTGACGGTATACCTACATTAGATTTTTTATTCGTTATATAAGCCCAGAAATAGTTTATGTTTTTGGGTATAGAGTCCTCGACACAATTAATGTACTTATTGTAACATTTTGTGGCTTCACTTTTAAACCGAGTTCTATATAATGAAAATATCTCGTAATCTGATTCATTTTTATATATTTTCCATTTATTCCAAGCCTTGCGTTTGTTTTTAAAGATATGTATGAGAGATGGACTGAACCATACCGGATAACGCATAGACTTAGATCTTGAAAAAGGCACTTGCTTTTTGACAATGTCGTAAATAGTTTCATAGAATAAGTTAACCGAATCCTCTGCAGAAACACGGTCAAGAATCTCGCTCCAAGAGACGTCCATTAGTTGTTTATTTATAAGTTCAAAATTGGCCTTATAAAAGTTAGGTTTTTTTACTTGGTTGCGGTTCATGGTGGAAATATTGGGTGAGAAGGGAATCGTAATATAAAATGGAGGATGATGAACGTCTATCGGGACTGACACCGAGTCCTGAGGTTGGGTTACAGAGCAGTCACCTATATTTGCGATGCATAAGTCCAAAATTCTGCCGTTCGAATTTCTAATTCCGTTATATTGATAGGAATGATGGAGAATCATGAAGTTCCGTAGAACATCACAAACTGATGAAGTTCCAGAACAAGCAAGAGCATTACAGTCCGTCTGGTGTTGCCAATGAGCATCAGGTATATTGAAATCCCCGACCAGTAGCAAGTTGGATATACAGTTTTCTCTTATGATTTCATTTAAAGTTTCAAAGTACAAATTATAAACTGCTATAGGTGACCTGTCCGGTATGTAAACCGCCCCAAATAAATAACAGCCATCTAGTTCACTGCTAGGTATCTGGATAAGAACCAATTCTAAAAATTTTGACATAGGTGTGAGTGATGGTGCAGAGATACGATATGGTTTGAGATACCGCATGACCGCCACCAAAACCCCTCCCCCATCTGACTTTCGTGTCAATTCTAGTTCCCTGTCACATCTATAAACAATATATCGTTGGTCTATGAATTCGTTATCATATATGCTACTGTTTAGCCAGGTTTCTGACAAGATTATTATATCATAAGCATTGGACATTATATTAAAGAATATCGTTTTCAGCTTTGTACGCATGCCACGACAGTTTTGATAATAAACCGTTAAGTTAGTTAAATTACGTTTAGCCATGAGTTATAAAACAATTCATTAGTTGTATTGCTTTAATATATTGTGCTGCCAACAAACACGCCGATAGTCTTGTGTAGACCAAAGAAAAAAATGTGTTTAAGGTGTGCTTCTGCAAACAATCGACCAAAAATGTAATAAAATATAAAAATACTACGTCCGTGCGTAAAACGCCGAATAATTGAACACAATAGAAAACATAAATGCGATTATGGTCTTCAATTCTAGTTAGAGGAACGTGCTTTAGTAGCCTTAATTTTGTCGATATCTTTGACCGTACGAATGGCCAATACCGTGGAATTTTCCATCTCTCTGACGAGTATTGTGGAATGTTTAGTCCACACGAATTTGTATCCTTCGCGATTTGCTGCTTCCCGGGCTTCACGAAAAAGCTGCTTATTTCGAAGAGTTAGATGTTCATTAACAAAAACTTTTTGTGAGGTACCTGATATTCCCAGTTGTTCGGAGGACAGTCCTTTTTTAAGTCTGTAAGCACTAATTATATTGTCACGCAAAGTTCTTGTCGTAAATTTTGCAACTATATTCTTAGGTTTGTTATTCTGCGTTGCGTGAGGAACACGGTGTATAGAGACAACATCCTCACTCCTGATACTGCATCCAATTCGCTTACCCATATTTTCAAGCATGACAAGGAGATTCTCATTCCGCCTTTCAGGCATGTTAGAGATTTCTATGTTGCATTGTCTTGCTTGTTGTTGTAATGAGTCTAATTCCGCCCTTAAGTTTAGGTCTGTTTGCTCGCACAGTGCATTTGTTTGCAAGGATACATTTTCCACCCGTTTTTTGAGATCATTATGCTGGTCACTTAAGAATTTATTAGATTCCTTTAGATTAGAAACATCCTCCGATAACTCTGCGCACCGCGACATAACCTCTGTCTGCTCCGCATGCAAAGATACAAGCTCTTTTCCAATTTCAACTTTATACTGGTCGAAATCGCTTCTTATGTTATTGATATTCTGATTTATTTGTTCAAAGTTTTTATTCATTTCCTGACGCCAGTCCTTAAGTGTTTGTAGTAATTCCGTTTTAAAAGAGTTAAACATATCCAAAGCTTCATTTTCCGGTGTTTTTCGTTTTCTGCTAGTGATGTTTTGTGACAACTCCGATGTTGAAGGTATGTCCGGGTTAGATGAGCTTTGTTTGTTTGGCGAACGCTTCATCGTTAAGTTTCAGATTATATGTCGCTTCAAATAAATTGTGTTATTAACGAACTAGCACCGGCACGCAAGTAATGGTCACCAATTTCGCGCCGCAGCGTCCAGTGTCCGTGGCGTAATGGCCTGCGTGTCGACTTCAAAGTCGCTCGGCTCAAGAGGTCGGTGGTTCAAACCCCGCCGAACGTTTACACTTTTTCCAATGTTTCTTCAAATTTATTTATTAAATTTAATAATTTTATTTAGTAAGAACAACTTACAAGTTGATGCCTCGGTGCTCGCTTGTGTGAATGAGACGGAGGAACAAAATCCAATATGGATGCCGTTGTATATGGCAATCCTCTCAAGATAGTAAGAGAGGGCCCGATTTTCTTCAAAATATGCACTCAAAAACTAAGTAAAATGAGAATAAAATATTCCGCAGCAACCAACTATACGTCCTCACACAGCAAAGATGAATGATGTTATATGTTATATCATTCCTTATAACTGAAAATATGTGTTATAACTTACTAACCTCTCCATATAGTCCACCATTATTTCGAATTGGGAAAAACTAGTTCTCGTCGACATCTTATTTATTGAAAGCAAAAAATTGTATTCAAATTTTTAAATGGCGGCGCGGGCAGTATGTTGTGTGATTGTGACATAAAACTTTGCACAAGATGTCAAAATAGCAAAATCTATCTATTTCATTTAGTTGTACGAGAGTAAAAGAGAAAGAAATATCAGTGTGAACTTCGTCCATATGGTTGTAGTCTGGATAACCCTCGGTATCGAAAGGGTTAATAAGCTGGGGGTTGATTTGAATAAAATTACTAGGTAGTGGTTACCGAACACTTATATTTCGAATTATTGTACAATGAAAATATGATACAATAGCACGTGACCAATTGATACCAACATTCAAATAAATTCGTTGGACCCTTATACTATTGCCGGAGAATCTTAACACCGCGATTCAGAAAACGATCTCAAATAAAAAGCGCCATCTATGGACGAATGTTGGAACTCTTGTTTTCTGAACCGCGGGTTTCTTACATGTCATTTGCTTGACGGTTAGACATAGTCTATGCTTGGCGACATACGTTAGCGTCGTCTCGTTCGGACCAAATTATGAACTCATACTGCGAACTACTCGTAAACGGAAACTTTTCACGTTGCCTCGTCAACGTTAAGCGCCTTGTCGTTGTGGTAGGGATGTGACATTGTAGATAAAAAATCGATTTTTAATTAATCGGTTTTTTTGCTACGTTTTTCTTGAGAAAAAAATCGATTTTATTATAGAGGTATAAACAGTTTTTCCCAATTTTTCAATTAATTTTAAAATAAACGCCATATGCATTATATCAATAGATTTATTCATTTAAATAATCAACAGAATCAGTAAGTTACTTAAACTTTTTAAACAATTAAATTTTTTATACAATAATCAACAAAATTAAATTATTCAAACTCAATAAACTAGATATTCGTACTGAAATATTAAATTCTTATAAAATCAATACAAATTAAAGTTTTAGAATAATCAAATTAAAATAAACCAACAAAATCAAATTATTCAAATTAAAAAAAAAAACTAGAAATCCGTAGGCAACGAGTTCAGGAATAACAGCTTAGGTAAGCGTTTGGATAATATTCGGCTCCTGGTCTTCGTTAATATGGCGCCAGCTTTCGAGAACAATCTCTCTGCCGGAGCCGAAGATGCCGGTACCAACAGGTGCTTACACGCCAAATTTGTGAGTTTGGGATAAGTTCCCTCATAGCTTTTCCAGGATTCTAAAGCGTCTTCTTTTAATCCTATTAGAGGCACAGCTATGTACAAGCTCAATTCTGATGTTTGAATGTGACTTCGACTGGCTCTCATATTCTCCAACAACAGCTTGTTGTGAGTTTCCCAAATGTCATCATTATCAAGTATCAACATCATCAGCGGCCGAAGTTATAGACAGTGGGCAATCTTCAGGTTCTCGGTTTTCTTCAATGGATCGTTTAATGTATTTCATAGTTCTTGCCAAAGATGCTCCGTCATCAAGGTGTAATTTTTTAAAACGAGGATCTAAAAATGTTGCAGTATGAAATAAATGAACTTTTTGTATGTGCTCAAATCTTTTCTTAAGTTCATTTATTATTGAATTTTTTAATTGAATGGCCAAATCATGCGATGTATCTGTTTTTTCCAAAAACTGTTTCAAGCACATTATAATGGGAATAACTTTACTTGCGCTAACATATTTTTCAGAGCACATCTCCTCGCTTACTTTTTCAAACGGTTTGAGAATTTTTACAACTTCTTTCAGTACAGCAATTTCACTTGCTTGAATCATAGGAGGAGCATTAGGGTAATTCAACAAAATGCCGCCCACCGTCCCACTCATAGCTATAAATCTTTCAAGCATATGCAATTGTGAATTCCACCGCGTTGAAACATCTCCTATCAGGTGTTTAATTTTCCTTCCGGTACATTTTCAGCCGTTTGAGAATTTCTCAATTGGCCTGCAGCAACTCCGCTCCGATGGAACCATTGTACAATTCTGCGAACTTTATCAATGAATATTTTTATTTCATTCACCATGACAGAATTTTGTACAACAAGGTTTAATGTGTGGGCTATGCAACGAATATGCTTTGCTCTTCCAAATGCTATATCAATGGCTTTTACTATATTTGCACCATTGTCTGTAGTGACAGTCACTATTTTTTCATCAGGAATTTCCCAATTTTCACAAATATTTTTAATGGTGGTTAATAAATAACCGGCGGTATGACTCTCCGAAAGCGGTTCACAAGCTATATTGAAAGAAACAATCTTAAAATTTTTGATAAAATGAATATTCACTCCCAAATAGCTCTTCATTTGTAAATCCTTCCATTCGTCAATCGTTAAACATATACTAGTCAAAACAAAATAAACATATACTAGTCAAAACAAAATAAGGGCCACCACGTTTTTATAGTTTCCTCATGAAATCTTGAGGTTTAAGGGTTGATTAATGATTAGATTTGATAAATTAACTGTTTTTTTATTATTAACAGCACAAAATGATGAAAGACACATTCCAAAAAAAAAAAATATTACCATTTTTTCTGAAAAACTAACATTTTTGCAAGCAAAACGTATGAAATCAAAATTAAGTGAAAAAAAAACAAATCAGATATTGGTTGAATTGTAACTCCTCAATGTTTAGTATGCTCTTCTCGTTTTCTAATGCACTCTTGAAGCCTGGATGGTACACTCTCCACCAAGTGTACCACTGTTTCTTGAGGAATTTGTTCCCAGCTTGATTTTAAAATGTTTATTAGCTGTCTTTCATTGTACACGGGTTGGTTTGGACGGACGTTGCGTTTGAGTAAATCCCACATGTGTTCAATGGGATTGAGATCCGGACTGTTTGCAGGCCAGGGCAACACCTGTATACCAGCCTCCTCTATAGCTTCTCTGGTGGCCCTAGCTGTATGAGCGCGAGCATTATCGTGCATCAGACTGAATCTTGCGCCGATTCTTTGTGCATATGGGATCACATGAGGTCTTATGACCTCCTCGATGTAACGTTGAGATGTAATTGTGCCTTCGTTGAGAATTATCAACTCAGTTCTACTTGATGTAGAGATTCCTCCCCACACCATAATGTTAGGGCCCCCAAATCTGTCACTTTCATGGATACAAGCATCCAAAAATCGCTCACCTTCATGCCTCCAGACCCTGATGCGACGGTCATCACTAAAAAATTTTACTTTGCACTCATCCGTAAACAATACTGTGCTCCATTCACTCATATCCCATGCCAGATGCTGCCTTGCGAACGATAATCGGTTTGCACGATGAGCACTTGTCAATGGTATCCGCACTACACGTCTCCTAGAGAACTGCTGGTCCTCGTGTAACCGATTTCTAATGGTTTGATCACTAACACGTGTACCCGTAGCCTCCAGCACCTTCAGGAGCCATGTATGTGGCACAGAATCATATGCTTTTTTATAGTCTATCCAGCATGTAGACAAATCTTTTCGGGACCGACGAACCTGTTGGCTAACAACCATATCAATGAGGAGTAGCTCCTTAGTTCCACGAGACCCCTCCCTACATCCATTTTGAGATACCGACATGATGGAATTTTTTTTAATATGTTTTGTTATTTTTGTCCTCAAAATGGATGTAAGAAGTTTATAGACCGTTGGTAGACATGTGATTGGTCTATAATTTTTGGGCTCAGTGGAACTACCTGATTTATGGAGCAAGTGGGTAACTCCTGTTGTTAGAAATTGTGGTAACGACCCAGTTTCCAAAGCTGCCTGGAAGTGTAATGCTAAGCGAACGTGTGAACTCTTGAGCCATTTAATCCAGAAATTGTGCAGTCCGTCCGGCCCCGGTGATTTCCAATTCGGGACCGAACAGGCTGCACTGGCTACATCAGAGGAGGTGATTACTACCTCCTCCATCTCTGGTATAGTCTCACACCTTCGCTTAACATCAAACATCCAGTCACCTTCTGTGTGGCTAACAGGCACCGACCAGATGTTGCGCCAAAATGTGTTAGTGGCATCATCATCCGGTCGCCTCCTGTCAGCCACATCTTGGTTGGATCGTTCCCAATCTCTGTATACCCACCTCTGATCTCTTTGGAACATGCGATTCTGAGTATAGCGCTCCATTCTTTTTTTGTACCTTCTGATACGGTTTGCCCATGCATAAACTTTCTGCTTCAGGAAGTCGATGCGTTCTGTAACACGTGATAAGTATTCATGAGGACTGATTTCAGTCCCCACAAATGCACGTCTTACAAAGCGCATCACTCTAGGGCGAGTATTGCCCTCCCTGAAGCAGGATAGTTTGCCAATGAGTACCCTGGCCTCACTGATACGACGCTCTATCCTGCACTGCCAGGCAGGTACTGCTGGTTTTGGTCGGACTGCTGCGTCAAGATTTGGGAATCTGACGTTAGCCACTCGACAAGCAGCAACTGCCCCACAGTACAAGATTGAGTGTGTATCATAGAGGTTTTCGCTACTCTCAAAATAATTTTTAAGTAGCGAATCCAAGGCGCTCACCAGCGCCCTATTTTTTCTACACATGGGCAAACGTAGTAACTTTGGTCTTAAATTACTAGGAGCAAGTCTGTACTCACGAACCGCATCCTCCAAAGCACTCCTCAGACGTTCATTGCACTGAGTACTCACTTGTTCAACCCTGTCGTCCTCCACTCCAACGATAGGAGTGGTCGATGTCACACATTGTGACACTACAGGTGTCTGTGCCACCAATTGTGGTGGTGCGGGGACGACACGGTTGCGCAGTGCTTCAAGGCGTAGCCGATCAAGCGTAGTCTCATCCAATCTGCAATTGCGTTGGATGACCCGCACTTGATCCGAGAGTCGTTGGGCCGAGACGTTGATAGATGGCTCAAGCACCTGAAACATAGACAGCATCCTTTCACGGTACGCCGTGAGGTTAGTTCCTCCCTCTGTAGCACCGTAGTATGCGCGCATGACGTTCTCGTTAATACTTTGAGTCCATTTCATGCGCAGCACACAACCACCGGTAGCGGGGACCCGTCCCAGGGCCTGATGGCCCC